CGTTTATTCGGAAAACGGACACACGAAGCTCTTTATTAAGGAAAGAGTAACGGCGGTGATATTGGCAGTTTGACATCGTGGTATCTCTCTCGCCGCGCCAATTTCGCAGAAATTCCGACGGTAATCGCGTTTTACGCGGTCGCGGTTCGAAATGGCCGCGATACAGGCCGCCAAGTACGTTTAATACTTGATCGTATGAACGCGGAAAGAAATCCGAAGTATCGTTCATATCCATTCAATTCAAAAGTACGATTGTCGGGTATAAATGGTGCCTGTCCTCTATCGTGAGCGCACGTCTCTATCAAATTGTTCGATTTCGCCATTCACGCCAAGCATAATCAATATATTCCTCACTGAAATGCTACACTTACAATTGATGGTTCAATTATAAATGTAGCACTGTGCAATCAGTAAAATCTCGCTGAAAGAATCAGTTAGTAGGAACTACTGTTCCTATTATCCTGTAGTTTGCGACCACAGATGGTGTTATTGCACGCAAATCGTACAAAAGCCGTTAATTCAATCGCCACAAATGCAGAAAGTTGGATTTGGCAAAGCGAATAATAAGTTTACGTACTATACAGATTTTGGGGTGAATCTTATTTCCACTGATTAAAGTCAGATATAAAATGGAATAATAAAATGGGAATGTTTTTACAAAAAATCAGTGGATCGGACTCATTGCTTATCGGTGAAATACTCTTTTTGCTGATTTAATCAGAAATATTTTTGCTTTAGGAGAATAGGTGAGTACCCTCTGAATTACAATCAGGATGTATATTCTTCACTAAAATGCTGCACTTACAATTGATGGTTCACTTATAAATGTAACACTGTGCAATCACTAAAACCTTGTTGAAAAAATCAGTTAATAAGGGATACTATTCCTCATTGATGCAGTTTGCGAGCACAGACGGTGTTATTGCACGTAAATTACACGGGAACCGTTAATTCCACTGCCACAAACTCAGAAAACTGGAGTTGGTAAAGTGTAACGAATTTATGTGCTGCAGATTTTGTAGTGAAATTACTTTCACTGGTCAAAATTAATGAAATATAAAATGGAAGAATAAAATAGTGTTTTTACTGAAAATCAGTGATTACTCATTGCAGCAATGAGCTTATCGGTGAAATACTCCTTTTACTGATTCGCTTTAAAAGAGTGTGGAGGCTGGAGATAGTTCCAGAGAGTTGTCAATTCCATATGTCCATTCAATTACCCACATTTCATCACTCATGAAATTTTACTATTATTTGTAGTTTCACTATTGCAACATGTCTAGCAATAGTTATGACCGCAGTTTATTAAAAGAAGTCGTTTACCTCGAATTTGAATTCATACGGATACGAGAGATGATTGAGACGACGAGACAGAAGGGGAGAATCGAGAGAAATTTCGTTGTTTTCGTAAAGTGGTTGCTCTTTATCTCGGATCATTTGCTCAGTCAAAAACTCAACCGTACCGAACTTCATAACCTAACGTGGAGGTAGTGAACTACCTCGATGTTCGACGCGCGTTGTGTAGCCGCCCAACAGTTACACGATAAAATCTCCATGGACCTTTCGACGTAGCGCTGTTTTTCTCTTGTCCGCGAGTGAAGCGAAACTTTCTCGCTGGGTCGTCTACAAACCTAAACACCTTCGTCCGGTTCCTCTCATTAAACGAAATTGAAACCTCCCTAGCGAGCACGGTTTATGATTCTCCCGGCTCAAAGCAACCGTTCGCCTTCTTCTCATTTAATGTGGAACTTAATTTTTATGAATTCACTTTCAAAGCGCCTTGATTGCCGCATTTGACGTTCGACGGTATTTGATAACACATTATATCTCACGCTTCGAGCCTTTCGCGCTTTTGTCTCTGATCATCGCGGTGAATTAATACAGCGATATTTGCGCACTAATCGCTCCTGAAAATGTAAATTTGCCATATGCGTGCACTGAGGAAAAAATTACCTTAAAATCAACAAATATTTCTTTGATGGGTGCCATTAACATATTTATTTAAATCTAAATTCTCTTTATTTAAATCAAATATTGTTTACTTAAATCAGATAAACAATATTTGATTTAAATAAAGAGAATTTAGATTAAAATAAATATGTTAATAGCATCCATCAAAGAAATATTTGTTGATTTTAAGGCAATTTTTCCCTTAGGGTGGAGGAATGTTACGTGGATCTTCCTGATCCTGTATTCTCTAAACTGTAAGCGGTGCATTATTCATTGAAATGCTATACGTATGATTGATGACTTAGTTATAAGTATAGCAATCAGTGGAATATCGTTGAAAAGATTAGTTAATAGTGGCGACTGTTCCTATTCTTGATATACCTTGCAAACACAGACAGTGTTTTTGCATACGAGGTGCATGGAAATTGTCATTTTCGATCGACTGTGATGCTACCGACAAAAAAGACACGAGCTGCTAACGCTATTAATGTTGGAAGCAATCGTTTTTACATTTATCTGAAACAGAGTTAACATTATTACTTAGCGCGATTTAGTCCAACTTACCATCAAACTATCGCAATCAGACTATCCGGAAATTTTCCAGTCAGGCAAAGCCAGATCGTCCTGAATAATGCACCGTAGAGGTTGGCTGTCAGTTCACTGTCAAACTTCGCACAATTCCAGCGTCTGCTGGATCCGTTGGAAGCAACCGCGCGCGTGTTCGATATGTTTAATGTTGGATCAATGTTCTCCGAATTACGCTGATGTAAAATTTACGTCGCGCATGGGGCGAACGACGTGCCGCTGCACGCGTCGCACGAGACCGCGACGCGGCATGTCGGCCCAGTTTTATGGAAAAATGTTAGAAATACGGGAGCGCATCACTAGTAACGACACCCCCTCGCGCGGCGAAGGAGCATCTGACAACCTCGATATCGAGGGTAGGTAACGCACACGACTCGCTCGTATCGCGAGTATGACGGCGATGTGTTTGGCAAACCCTTCGTTTGCCAGGCATCAAAAGAAGTGCATGCTGAAGGTGCATGCATGTACATGTGTGTGTGTGGATGTAGGTGTGAAAGTCGAGCGAGAGTAACGGAGCGCGGGGTTGGGAGTGAAACTCGCAACTGGATTTTCTCGAGAAGTATCGGGCCAGGAGGCAAGGAGAGAGAAAGAGAGAGGGGAGGGAAGAGAGAGGCACTAGATATCAAAACGCAATAACGATAGAAAATCAAAACGGGGACAATGGAAATGAACTGCGCGGATGATTTTTACGAGTGCGATGAAACACCTGAACACGCATGTCCTTCGACCAGCGAGCGAATTGGATTCGTTTTAAAAGCGATTAAATCTCAATCAGCGATTAAAAGCGACAGAGTGTAGGATGTGTGTGTTGGACAAATATTGACCGTAATATTATTAATTTTTCTGCGTGGCAATACACGATCAGTAGCGAGTGGCAATTAACGGCATGACGATCGGCATGAATCTCAAGCGAGGAGATTCGACGGGAAATCCTGAGCGAGGGAGCGAAGGACAATTTCACGTGTGGGATTTGACTGAGAGATTCTCGCGAGATAAGATCGCATCTTCCCGACTCGCGTACCTGTTCGAGATCCGACGGCGGTACCAACAGACGGGCGCACACATTGATGGCGTTCAGCCTGAGGAATTTCCGAAGCGACTCTTCGACGATCCACTCCTCTAATGCCCGCGAACACAAATTGCTCTCGTACTCGGAACGTCGACGACGTTCTCCTCTTTCGCAGCGAGCGAAACGTAAAAAGGGAAGACGCGGTTTCCACGGTAAATTATTTCGCCGGCTGGCTAACGCCGCGTCTTCTCGTTGCTCCTTCTCGCTGGTCGATTTGCTCCTCCACTCGCATTTTTCAAAGCGTCAGCCTGTCAGTCGGTTATTTCCGCGCAAACACGTCGGTGCTGCACGGATCGAGAAACATGTTTTTTCTCTCTCTCTTTCTTTCGCTCTCTCTCCACCCCGCCCCCCGCTCTCTCTCTCTTTGTTCGTGTTCTCACGCGAATTTGCCTCTTTCCACCAAAAGCGAAAATAAAAGAATAATATTCTTCTCGGAGATTCGTGACGACGTATCGAGACGCGCCGACGTTCACGGAGAGCTTTCTGAATATATCTCGAATGAATAGTCGGTTGCAAAACGGCTTAGACATATTTTAGGCATTTTTTCTAACGAAATTAGGAATGGTCTATGTTGTCACAATTGTCCATGCTGGACGAGTTTGTGTAGTAACCGATCATAACAAGAACCGCAAAGTGACAGTACACAAAAAAAACGCGTAGTTCCTTTTTGCATAAATTATTTCTAATTTTACTATATTTCTAATAATGTGGAAATAGACTGCCAGTAAAGTCCATCTTAAGCTAAGAAAAGAAAAAATATCTATAAAACAAAAAAATTTTATTCGAACAGGGTGAAGTATACTAATAATGTATTCATTTAAATCTAAATCCTATTATTTATGTAGAATAAATGATTACTTTCATGAAAATTTTAAGATAATGGATATTTTCTTATTAAAAAAAATATTTTATATTAATATAAATAAATATGTTATGAATGTCCACCGAATAAACATGTCCTATTTTTTAGATATTTTTTCTCTCAGCGTAGTGGATCTCGCTAAAAATATAACGCATTTTTCAACAGCATATTTCAGTTTCTAAAATAGCACACATAAAATAAAAGGACAGTCAATTATTGCAAAATGTTGACCTATATTTCTCGGTTAAAAGATTCTATAATAATTTTAACTATAAAATTCTCTTCACCTGTTCGCTTTAGTAGAGCTATTGATGCGTTGGAAATTCGTCCCTTTTCTTTTCAACGTTAAGTTATTCCATACACAGAAAAAACAACTCCGTTAGTGTAACTAAATTTTCTGTTATCTGGGAACCAGATGAAAAATCCGATTGTAGGAACCGAAAGATCTTTGTAGGAGGTTTCCATTTAGCTAAACGCTCTCAGTTATGTCAACCGAGATTTAATGCAGCTGAATGTTCAAACGAATGTTTTCAGTTACAGTGACAGAGGTATTATTTCTCGTCAGCGAATTTTTCGTCTGGTCCCCGTCACATGAACTGAATTTTTTTCCGTATACTTGTTTCATTGCAACAAAAGGGCGAAAAGTGCAACCTAGTTCAGTTAAAAAAGACAACCCCCATATATAAGACATTGGACATCGCAATTGCAACGGAGCATTCAGGAGAAACGTACGTATATTTTATTACTTATTTATCAGATAAGAATATAATGAAGGTCATAATATTTGTATCATTTATTGTCACTTCAAGTGGTCTGTTTAACGAATACACAAACCTGTAGACAGTGGCTCATAATCGTGACGAAGAGTTCTTAACTTTGTTATAGAAAATGTATCTATTCTAAACAATTATTCTGCACAATCAACTATATCCGAGTAGAAATGTAATTAGTCGATTTGAATCAAAAGCTGGTCGCTAGCTAATATAAGTTACATGCAATTTTCTAGTTCGTTATTAGCTCGTTACTGACAAATCACTAAACTGACAAATTCACTAAAATGTAAAATGTTTTATGATTTATCTGTTGCTTAATCATTCTATATCAAATATGATTAAGCAGATTAAAATTGATACGTTATTTCATAAAATTCTTTAAAAACGAGCAGTAAGCCTTATATTACTAATTGGCAATTAATTATGATTTTTCATTTTATAACATTCTGTAATTTATTTCATCAACTCTCTAATTTATTTATCTAATCACTAAGAGAAGTGAATGTTACAATATCGGCATTAAAATTATATTAGACACAAATTTATCACTTCGTGACTCGACACTTATGAAATTCAATTTCTACTCTAAGTTCTTTCTTTCTGCGTTTAAGAAATAATTTATCATCCGCACGTGCCACTAAGCCTTCCCCAAATCTCTTATGATTTTTTTTTACATATGTCGATGGCTGTCAAAGACTGATTGGACGTAACGCGCTCCGCGATGAATGTCCCTTGATCTTCCATCATCCGTGCTTCCACGCGCACGTGCTCACAATCGACCGCGGATATGAAAGGGAAGCGTCCCGTTTAATCACGTCGAATCCCCGCAAATTGAATTACCGGGATTCGAAGGAAAAAAGTAAAAGGACAGAGTGATGGAGGGGCAATGGGTCGGTGGTGGTGGAAAAGCATTTGTAAGAGATACACGTGGGCGCTCAGGAGTCCTTCGACGGGATCGATCCACTAATAATAGGATATAATGGAGCGAGTCCTGCGGACCGGCAGCCGCGCGCGAAGGCGTAGGGCCCGGGACGTGCTTAAGGGCCGTAAATTTTTAACATCAGAAAGCGGTCCGCGGCCACCCGTAAATTTCCCGACGGGCGCACCTCCGAGGGGGTGACGCTGCGCGTCTCGATAAAGCGACGGAAAAAAAAGGAGAGAGGAGGAAAAAGAGAAAAAAGTAGTCTCACTGTCCAATTAGAGACCAGGCGAATTCTAAGGTTGTTCAGATCTTCTCCACCTTCTTCGCCTCCCGCCCTCATCTTTTCTACAGTAAGTGGGATCCCCCCTGCCCCCTTCTTGTTTTTCACGGATTTATTGGCGACTCTCTCGGTGTGAAGTCTGTCGGGTTCGTATACGACCGCGTGTGGGCATGTTGCGCGTCCCTCGTTTTCAACTTCTTGGGAGGTAGACACTCGGGGGCGTGGTACGTGGAAAAGAATTTCCCGAGTGTAGACCCACACCAACGAATAAAAGAGGAAACTGCGGAATTTATAACCCACTCGTTTGTCGCTTTTCATCCCGATACATCGGCTAGTACGTGTACCACAAGAGCGATGTTCGCCGAAGCGCTCCTCTTTCTCTATTCGTTCACGAAGCCACCAGTCGAAAACTCTAGGGTCCCATTCTGGACGCATGGCGAACGTTAAGTGTGCCTCTTTAATTCCAAGTTCCGTTTCCCGTAGCGAGCGTCTCTACGAGCGTCACGTGTGATGTAAAACACCCAATTGTTGATTCTATAGAAAAGTCTGGTTTTCCTTGCGACCAACGGCACCTGTTCGCAGTTTTTTCGTCGAGAAGACTCCTTTTAGAGACATAGATTGCCAAGAAGTTCAACTATTGCTAGTCGTAAGAAAAAATAGATTCTCCTAGAAAGCGTCATACTGATAAGAAGTAGTTAATTTAATAAAAATTATGCCTATTTTTGGCTGCAACTACATTCCTTGGTTGTTCTAACACGAAAAGAGTACTTGTAACATGTGTATAAGGTTATTATCACTAACATTACATAAGCCATTAACCCTTTCGCTACCAACGGAATATATATGTTCTCCCACATATGTTTTCCCCATAATTAATAATAAATTTATTCAATTAAATAAACAGCTTTTTTGGCATTCAAAACACATCATTTATCTTTTTATCTGTTACTGTTGGGTCATATATACCCTCCTCAGTGCTCCGGCATTATCTCTTTGGAGTCAAGCATAAAACTTCTTATTTTTTGCTGAAATTATATTGTATATTAATGTATTTAATAAAATAAAAGAAAAAAAATTACATATATATATTTTTAAAAAACAAGATTAGTAGTGAAAGAGTTAAGTGGTATGTTGGAAAAAGAGTTTTGTGATAAAATATTTAATAAAATATTAATAATCAATTGATAAAAATAAAATAAAATATTAAGTTTCTCTCTCTCTTTTTCTCTTTCTCTCTTTCTCTCTCTTTCTAATTAATTAATTTTTTAACTCATAGCAAATACAAATTAGATATGTGGCGTATTATATTTTTCAAAATTCTTCAAAGAAAATAACGATAAAGAGAATAAAAAATATAATTATTAAAAAAAACTTACTTTGGAGAAATCGAGTCATTTTAAATCACCACTGAAAAGATTAATCAATATATAATTAATTACATAAAAGTTTGATTAATTTTATCAACCGATGGAATGAATGGTGGTTTTATATATAACGACTGATTAATTCCAATTATTAATTTGTGAATCTTTTATTCAAAAAGAATTTTAATTAATGCCCAATGCTGGTTTCAGCATGAGAATTAGAAAATCATATTTAGCTTCGCAACACGCCTCCAAAATGGGACCTCTAGGCCCTTGATCAAGAATGAGGCCTCTACAGGGCTCGAATAAAATCGTGAGGGCGATATCCTCTTGCGAAAAATAATCATTAATTGCACATGGCGGACCTATGGCGAGTCTTAACAGTATTTGTCAAGAGATGGAAAAGGCGCGCGGGATTTTCGAATCGGCCGGTCGAACGCCGAGGTCGGCATAATCGGAGCGGCGCGCGGAATTATCTCGGAATCGTGACGAGCTCTCCGGACTCGCAGCGAGCTTCGAGAGTCACGGAACGCTCGCTATGGCCGCGGAGAAAGCGATTTAAATACTCGAGAGGCGTTAAAGTCGCTCTCGAGTCGTCAGGTAGAACCGTCGGCCCGGAATCATCGGGGCCGGATCCGAGAGCGTTTTGTTCCAACTGCCCGATCAGATAAGCCGCGGCGATGAGCTCGGTATTGCTTTCAAATTGCTTTCCGATTCGAGCGTGCGATAGCGACGACGACGAGACCCACGCCCCTTCCCCCGGCACGTACCCTTGTCTATTCGGCTACTCAACCCCTTCGCGGTTATTAGAACTCGCCGCGCGGTCGCTCTCTTCTTTTTTCTCCCTTCCCTCCTCTCTCGCTCTCTCATCCGAGTTCCTCCCACCTTCCTTCCTTCCTTCCTTCCTTCGTCGCTCGGCGGGCCCGCGATGATTTGGTGCCTTGCGCCGGTCGATTACACGCAATTGACTCCCTTCGACCCGGTTAGCTCGAGCGTCGCTCGTGCAAAACCGTCTATACCGCGGATAGCGAGATGCTCGCACGAACGAGTTCACCGACCGGCGATTTCGATCGAGTTCCGCGCGGTACCTCGGCGAGAGGCGACGTTAACGCCGGCAAAGTCGTGGGACTCTTAGCGAAGTGATCTCAATCTAATTGGGCCGGGGCGAGAAGGCTACGGGGACGTTGAACGACGGGAAATTGAGACTAAGAGGCGATTCATCGGGGGATACACAGGGTGCTGGCTCCTTCGGCGCGCTCCCCGTGCACGCTCTCTGTCGTGTCTCCGCGCGGCCTTTGACCAATTTGCAGCCGATTTTTCCCTGTGGAAAAGTCGATAAGGGCGGCGCGATAATATTCAAGCGCACTGTCTTTTCCCGCGTTTTAATACATCTTCGGCCTTAAATATTCTCACGACTCAGACGCGAATTAGAATCTTTTCCCGTCGTCGAAGCGTGATCCGAGGGGGTGGCGCGCAGAAAGGTTCTGTGTGCACTTGGGCCTTTGAATGTTAACTCCTAAATGCCCTTTGTTGCGTTATTTTGACTATTATTTCTCATTGTTGCATGCATTCGCGTTCCCTCGATTTGTCATGTTAAAGAATCTGTAAGGTTTAGTGTCCTACTTTCAAAGAGATTACTGATAAACTTACTATTTGTCAAATAAAATTACGTTTGCATACATTTATTTCGTTATCTAAGTCATAAGTGTTAATTTCAGAGAAAATTGAGATGAATATGCAGCCCAACTAGAAATTTATTCCATGATCAGGTTGGTCCCTGTTAGTTAACTGGTAAGCGCTTTCATCTGAATAAGATAATGTTATCGGGTTCTAATGAATTATAAAGTCTTAATTATTAATAATCATTGCTATTAATAAGGTCCTGATTGTTATGCTACGTTAAATGACTTATACGATTATAGGATACGATAATATCACCTTATACAAATGTAAATGATTGGGATGAACCTGATCGTGGGATAAATTTCTAGTCGGGAGAGTGAAGCACGTAATTGGAAATACTTCGTTTCGGAATCGTAACGACAGATAAATTCAAACTACAATAAATCGAATAGAAGTCATTTGAAGGCTATAATAATAAATATGAATAAATTTGTTTTAATATTATCTACAACTTTTGTTATAGAATAAAGACTGATTTGAAAAAAAAAACTGAAGATGATCTCGAAATACTGAAAACTGCAAAAAAAAGTTTGAATAACGCGTTACACAACTCTCTTTAAATCGTGAAATATATTCATTTAGATCAACTTTCGCTAAAATCAATATTTACGGCGTTATCGAAGTAATCCAGAGTTATGTGCTTCATCCTGTACATACTCAATATTACAGATACAAAAAATATTATATTTAAATTTTTCTTATTAAG